GCTGCTACAATGTGGGCGTGTGTGTGTGTGTGTGTGAGTGTGTGTGTGCGTGCGTGCGTGTGTGTGTGTTGCCTCCCTTCTATCACTCTTGCCAATGCGTGGGGCACAGGCTCCTTCTCTCTTGCACTATCAAAGCCTAGTGCACGCCGAATTCAAATTGTGAAAAAAAAACATAAGTATACAAAACTCACAAAAATTAATTTAACTTGGTAATCGGGCGTTAAAATGGGTTCCCCGCGTAATTTTTGCTAATATTGGGTCGCTGATCACGAAAATATTATTTCTTAAATTTGGCCAATATTTAAGAAATTTTTGGAATGCATTTTTAACTCCGCCTAGGCCAACATCAAAGAAGCCGCCTTATGCGCCGGATCGGTCCCGTCCTGGTGCGGTGTCTGTTTTGAAGCAAAAAACTCGACTGTGGGGTGGGACAGCCCTAGGCCTATCCCACGACAGGACTGTAATAGTGCGGTAGAGATTTAGATTCTTGCCTCGATTCTGGGAGTCTAGGTTAGGAACCAGGCTTTAAAAAAAAGGAGACGGGAGGCGTCGACCCTGGGCGGACTCGAAGCTTAGAGTCTGGGAACAAGATCGATTCTTTGAGTCCTCATTTGGACTCGAAAGAATCGATCCCAGAGTCGATCTTGCCCTGGCCTAATCAAAATATCTTAATAGTTATATTTGACACGAGCCACTGAACATCATTTAACCACAGACTGAATGGACAACATTACATTCATTAAAAGACTTAAATGCATGAATCGCTTTTATCACTAAAAGTAAAATTGAAAACCATTTGTAATTTAAAGATAATCTCATTGAAGATTAAATTTTAAAAATATAATAGCAATGTTTTGGCAACACTGATATATAAAAAGCAGTTGAGAGAAAATTTAAAAGCTTTCAAACAAGACGCCTACGAAGATTTTATTAATCAAATGGAATGAATTTGTTACAAACAAATGAATAGGAAAGAGATGTGATTGAAGATCATAGACCATAAAAAGGATAGTATGGAGCTATTAGGGACATGTTTTGAGAATGCCAAAGACAAGATTGCCCAATCTGACATGGTGGTACTAAAGACCAAATGAAAAAAGAAGTATGAGATCCTAAAAATAAAACTTATGAAATGCTTTACATACTGGTTTGAAGCTATGTTTTTATCTTTAAACCATAATTTCAAAATCAAGAACCAACACCAAATGGCTGGCTAACATCATGGATAGATCAATATTTCATTTAAACTTTTGGTGCCTTCAGCTAATTCAGAAGTTCATTTTTACCTGCACCCAAAAGGGTACCCCTAAACCCTTCAGCTTAACTTGCAAAACACAAAGTGACATAACATATTGAGGCATTGTGGGGAATTCAGTCGCTAGTCAAAATAGTGAAATCAAAGTAAACAGCATTTTTTCAAATTTTTGTTTCTTGGCTCAGCATCTTTTTATGTCCATTTAAAAAGCCATTTATGTGTAGATTTTACGGAAAAATGTTGAATCAAGGCACAAAAAATGTTATTTAGTTTCCAAGGACTCTCAAGTTTTGTAAGTCAGAGTCACCAAACTTTGGCAGCCATTTTCTCACTAATTTTACCTCTGAAACCAGGCGGCCCCACCTCCTTCAATAGCAAACATAATCTCAACTTCTATTCAAAATAAATTTATAAGTAATATTTTCATCAAAACTATGCAAATAAGTTTTAAGTTGATACAAATAACTCAACGTGCCCAAAAATTGCCGAGCACCTGATTCCATATCGTTGTGACACATATATTATAACTGACAAGATATAAATTCAGAATTCATGACACCATCAACATTTCACACAATTCTTGTACAAACCTTGCGGCCCCGCTTCTTCATACTCGCTGAGAGAGGAGTCCCTCCAGCAGAACCTGGGGCAGAGTCATCCTGACTTTGAGGAGAATCAAGCTCCTTGTGAGAAGATGCCACACTAGCGGCGTCTTTCATTGGGGTTGACGTTTTGGGAGATAAAACACTCCCCTCAGCAGCCCCTTCAATGAGATCTTTGCGAGGAGTACAAGAATCATGAGGTAGAACTGTATCATCATGCACAGCCTTATTATCACTCTCACTTTCTGTGCCTGCAACTGGGCCTGCCAAATCTGTTGTGCTACTTCCTTCACTCTTCACATCTGACTCAGATAAAATTTTCTTGTCATCACTTTCATCACATTTACTATTAGCCTTGCCCACCTTTTCCGCTTCTTTATTTACATTGTCCTGTCCATCCATCTGCTTTGGGCTGTCATCATTCTCACTTTCACAGTCATCGTCTTCCACTAATATACAGTCAGCCTCATTTGGTTCTTTATCACCGTCCTTTTCATCTAGACTTATTTTACTACTTTCACCGGTCAAATCAGCTGAAATATCCAATACTTCGTTGGTAGACGAGATCTCATGCTGAACATCTTGGGGCAGCTTGAGAACAAATCTTTCCATCAAACAACACTTGCCATTGCTTTTTCCACTCGAAGCATCAGCCTCAGAGCTGGAACTAACTTCATGATCATTTTCTTCAATCTTTTTGGACTGCACACTCTTCGATGTTACTTTAGAAACTTTAGCGTTTGGAGATTCGGCATTGATAACAGCTGACACAAGAGGTTTACTCAGTTTAGCAGCTTTGTTTGGTGAGTCCCCCACACTGGGAATTTTTCGCTTTTTCCCTTGGCCAACAGTTGGAGCCGGCAATTTCCCATCAGAAGCAGTAGAAACCTTGAAAAAAGAAAGCTTTGCTGAGGAAAGAAAAATAATAAAAATTAACAAAACCTGAATCTAAATGAATTGTTCATAAAAAAACAAAACAGAACAGACTACTAAAACCTACATAAATCAATTATTTTCAATAGAACTTCAAACCTAGTTGCAAAACCAAAAATACGAAGAGATGCAACCGGGCATGCAGTCTCAGTGTCACCTACACAGTAACTGTCAACCGGGCATATGTAGTCTCAGTGTCACGTACATGGTAACCGGGCATGTAGTCTCAGTGTCACGTACATGGTAACCGGGCATGTAGTCTCAGTGTCACGTACATGGTAACCGGGCATGTAGCCTCAATGTAATCTACGTACACGGTAACCGGCAACATATTGAGGCTACATGCCCGGTTGCCGTGTACGTGACACTGAGACTACGTACCCGGTTGCTGGTTACCGCGTACGTAGACACTGAGGCTAGGTGCCCGGTTACCATGTACGTAAACACAGGGCAAACGGGAGAAGAGATCTAGAAATCTACTCCTACCTCTAGGCTAACCCTGACATACTGGCCTGACCCTTACCGTAGGCCTGGCTATCCCTAACCTTAGGCCACCTCTATTCTCACCCGGGTGAGAACAGCGCAGGCGTGCCTTTTGGCTATTCTCACCCGGTGTGCGTTCACCGTGATAGGCCAACCAGTGTAGCGTTCACCGTGATAGGCCAACCAGTGTAGCGTTCACCGTGAACAAACGTTCCAGTGCTCTTGTGTTGAAAGCGAGCAGGGGTGAGAAAGACAAGAGAGCGAGAGAAGAGGAGTGGCGAGAACTTTCGGGCAAAGCAAAATGGCGACCCACGTAGTTTGGCTCAATTCGAAAAGTGAAATAGCCGTAGCATCTTTATAGACGACCAAATTAACTTACTTTTGTGTTATAACACCATTTTTTTCTTTGTTTTTGTCAATTGAAGTGTATACAGACCCGTAAGGGGGAGAGAGAGGGGCAGGCAGAAAAAAAGGGGAGAGAGAGAGAGACAGAGAAATAGAGAGGGGAGGGTGACTGATCGATTGAAATTATGACATTGTTCTTTTCTTCAAATTGTCTTAGTCTTATTGATTCCCCAAACTCTAAAACGGAGGAAAAACGACCGTTCATCGAAAAGTCATCCACAATCTTCATTAAGATATCTAGATTCTAGATCTAGATTAGATCTAGATCTAGATCTAGGCCTCGAAACTGGATCTATGATTTATGTCTGTCTGTCTACTAACTGTCTAGATCTAGACCTGTGCCATACATAGATCTAGAAGAACCCAAGTCTAACCTAAACCAAGAGGGCGCTGAAACTTTCCGAAATCACAAAAGATTTCCCCTACCGGGTCTGTATACTTCGTGACTTTGTTTCCGGTTACCGGGTCTGTATACACTCCCTTTGTCAATTTGATCATCCACACTGATACAGTATTCAGAAACGGAGTCTACGTACACGGTAACCGGCCATTTAGCCTCAGGGTCTACGTACACGGTAACCGGGCACGTTCGCTCCCCCTAAGGCGAGGGGATACAATATTGTGTAAATTGTGCCCTCTTGATTTGGGCTCGAGGATCCTGCGTCAGAATCTCTCCAAGCTCAATCGGACTCGAAAAGATTACTCGGGGCAAAGGATCAGGGAGTAGAATGCTGCAATTTTAAAGATCATAATCTGCCAACTTGCTATTTACAACCCGCTTACAAATACCCCCAACATACCTGCCACTATACTGTCTTCCCACTTAGCTCCTCTCTACACTTGTCTTGGCCCGATAGAATAGGCTAACACTAACAATGTCACCTTAGCAGAGACTGAGCCCACCATTTCGGAACTTCGACCGTAAGTAAAGATGGTTCCAGTAGGGAACGGGATAGAGGGTGCCCACCTCCCTCGTGACTCATTGGAGCAGAGGAAGATAGGACTAACGCTGACATTACTTAAACGCAATCCCTCATCATCACTCAGCACCACTATTAATTTTAAAATCATCACCTCTCTCAGATCAATGACTTACATCTATAATCCTGGAATCTCTATCCGCTATTACAGTTAATTGATATACTAAGTATGCATGTAATACACTATTGGACACAATCATACTTTTTTCTACTAATCAGATGGCGTCAATCTCATTATAAATGGGCAAGGAAAAAAAAAAAAGGGAACCGGGCACGTAGCCTCAATATCTATGTACACGGTAACCGGGCGTGTAGTCTCAATGTTACATACACGGTAACCGGGCGTGAAGCCTGTGAATATGATCTACGTACACGGTAACCGGGAGCCTCTCATTATCTACGTACACGGTAACCAGGTATTTTGTTTCGTGGGGGAGGGGGGGGTGGGCTTGAGCTAGGTGCACGGTGACTGCTTTGCTCCCTTCAAGACGTTGACATTAATTTTTCCTTTTTCACTGTGTAGTCTCAATGTCGCATACACGGTAACCGTGCGCGTAGCCTCAATGTCTACGTGCACGGTAACCGTGTACTTAGTTTCAGGGTGGGGGGGAGGGGGTGCGGAAGGGGGCTTGAGCTAAGTCCACGGTAACTGCTTTGCTCCCTTCACAACCTTGATATTTTTCCTTTTTCACCTTGTAGTTCCAAT